CTGTTCATTCCATCAATTCAATGACTTCATGTCGAACATCTTATTTTTCTCATAATTCCTTGAGTGCCATTGCGTGAGTCTATGTCAGCATTTAGTAGTTAAATGGTGAAGCAATCGACCAAAAAACTAGAGGAGTCAGATCGAGGCCCAGATTAGGAGATTCGAACATTTTTTCTTTTTTTTCTAATTTGATTGATTTGAAACTAATGAGGTTATTCCAAAAATAATTATGTCTGCAATGTCTTTCAAAAATTTAATGAGCACAAAGATATCAAGCTGTTGCGCGTACCCGCAGGGGTTCAGCGGAACAGTTCTACAGATATTTTTTTTAGAACTTAATTAGAACTATCATTAATTTTTCATGTTGTTATGTACTTTAAGGTTTGCTCTTTGCTTAACTCATTAAAACATGTTGACACATTTAGTATCAAAATTGACTGGTCATCAGTTTGTCAGGGTTCTCATCCAGGTGGATTGTTTGTTTTAAAAAGTAAAAATGGAAAAAAGATAAAGTTATGAAGACATCAAGCAAAGCGTACAAACAGCAAAAAAACCCAGGAACCTTGATTGGTTCTCGCACCCTGACTGGTTGATTTGAGTTTCTTTCTTTTTTTATTCTGTGATGAATGATCCCCACATATTTCAAGAGTGTGTAAATTATGATTGTGACAACCGTAATTTGTAAGCGGTATACCTATATCGTAGTGGGAAAATGGCATCAAAAAATATCTATGAGGTTTGTTGTTCTCAAACGGTAATCTTTATGGGGAATAGCTGTGATTTTTTGATAAAATTAGTTTTGAAACAACGTATTTGTTATTGGCTTAGGTATAAACCGACTGTCTTACATCAATGTAGCATGAAAAATTCTACTAAACTGTTGCCCAAAGCTTGGAGTTAAGGTATCTTGAAAGTTGATATGTTAAGACAAGGCTCATTCCTCATCGTACCAGGCTTAAGTCCTGATTTATCTGACCGCTCTTTCTAGTAGCGTCAAGATTTTTTGGATTGGTCAGAAAAAATGAGAGTCAATCTTTTTTTAAATCAAAAATCTGCTTGCACTGAATATTTTTTGCTTAGTAACTGAACTGAAATGGATTTTCATTGACATAATCTGCATCTAGAAAGAAATTGATACCAATTAGATTTCTTAAACTCAATTTTGTAAGATTTGGAGTCTGGACTAATTCACTCCGTGTGCACTATTGAATACAAAATAGCTGCAAGACTGATTGAATCAGAATAACAGTCACTCTCCCGCTTTTCCCACTTCGTCTTCACGTAATGTTAACCTAACAACTTCGGTGAGGTTTTCATCTAATACTTGATGCTCAGCAATGGCATATACTTACAAACTATTTCAATTTTGAATAGTACAGGCTCAGCAGAATTTTGCCAGCGTTTGATGAATAAAGCACAGAAATTAATATTTCAGAGAACGTAAAAAATATACAAGACAACAAAACTGCTCGTATCAGGGCGAAGCCCTGAATGTTCAGGCTGCCTTCTAAGGTTTATGGAGCAGTAATAACATAAAAAAATTAAATGAAATAAAATAAAATGAATTTTTTTTTCTAAAATTTGAATTTTTTTCAATGAAAATCACCCGACCCCCCCACACGCCATATAAAAACAAAAGGATAGATTTCGTTCCCTATAACAAATCAATTGGGGCAAATAAGCTTCGTTCAACCAATTTGGAACAATTTCTAAGACGGATTAAAACTCCGCTTACGCGTTAATAGCTCGAATTATATCGCGCGTTAATTGTCCCAAATTGGTCAAAATGGCCAAAATGGCAACCTTTAGACCCTCATAATTTATGAAAAATGATCACAGGTGAAAAATCTTTTAAAATCTAAGCTCAAGACAACACTACTTTTTGAATGATATAAAAAAGTTCCGTCAAAAATGGCTAGTTAAAAAGTCGAAATTTGTCTGAAGAAAAAAAAAACCCACCCGAGCACAAATATTCCGTTACTTTCGTATCGAAAGTCGGAACAAAAATGAAGTTTTGATCTCATAACGAGCAAAATTTATAATTAATTTGAGAGAAATTCTTGCCCTAACAGAAACTGATCAGAACAAGACTGCGATGCCGTGGACGTTTAACGTCGATGAAAAAGTTCTCCCACACACGCACAGTGATACATTCTGCATCTATAAAGAGTAAACAAGACACGTCGTGTCAGTGCGAAGCCCTGAATGTTCCAATTTTTGTCCTTTAACGATCGACAAAAACAATTTTGATATATAAAAAATGATAAAAAAAAATTGAAGAAAATTAAAAAACGAAATTGAATTCATTTCATTTTTTTTCTTAATTTAATGAACCCACTCTAGAATAATCGGAATTGATAAACGATCGACAAAAAAAATTTCGATATATAAAAAATGATGAAAAAAAAATTTGAATAAAAATTAAAAAACGAAATTGAATTCATTTCATTTTTTTTTTCTTAATTTAATGAACCCACTCTAGAATAATCGGAATTGATTAAGTTAGCAATTTTCAAACAACCAAATTATACAACAATTTACCAAAAAGCTTTATCGTGTTGCATTTGAGCTCAGGACAACAAAATTTTTTCAGCAATTTTTATATAAAAGTCTCGTCAAAAACAATTAATTATATATTCGAACTTAGCCTGAATGAAAAAACTACCCCAAGCCTAAATTATGTGTCACTTTCATTCAATTTTGGAGAAAATGCTCGTCGTATCAGTTTCAAATCCTGGTTTATATGGCAGCTCTTTCTAGTAGTGTCAAGTTTTTGTTGGATTAGTCAGAAATTGAATGTTTTTTAAACAAAAATCTACATGCACTGAAATTATTGTTCCGACTTTTGATACGAAAGTAACGGAATATTTGCGCTCGGGGTGAGTTTTTTTTTCTTCAGACGAATTTTGACTTTTTAACTAGCCATTTTTGACGGAATTGTTTATATCATTCAAAAATTATTGTTGTCCTGAGCTTAAATTTCACCTGTGATCAATTTTCGTAAAGTTGAGGGGGTTTAAAGACTGCCATTTTGGCCAATTTGGGACAATTAAAGCGCGATATATTTCGCGCTATTCACGCGTAAGCGTAGATTTAATCCGTCTTAGAAATCGTTCCAAATTGGTTGAAGGAAGCTTTTTTGCCTTAATTCATTAGTTAATTGGAGCGAAATTTATCACTTTGTTTTTTATATGGCCTGTGGGGGATGATTTTCACAAAAAAATCTCAAACTTTAGAAAAAAAAATTTTCATTTTGTTTTTATTACATTTAACTTTTTATTGCTTTTACTGCTTCATAGACCTTAAAAGGCAGTCGGAACATTTAGGGCTTCGCCCTGATACGAGCAGTCTTGTTTTAGCTTTGTAACTGAGTTGAAATGGATTTTTAATGACATAACTTGAATCTAGAAAAAAAGATTTGGAGTGAGGACTAACTCACTGCGTGTGCACTATTGAATACAAACTAGCAGCAAGACTGATTGAATCAGAGTAACAAAGTCACCCTCCAATTTTTCCTTCTCCGTCTTCACGTAATGATAGCCTAAGAACTTCGGAATAATGACTGCAAGCTGCTGGCCTCATTTCAAATTAGAAATTCTCGTTGCTTGAGTTGTAGGCTTCAAACAAAAAATTTCATAGAGATCTTAACCAGGGGCACAGCAGCGGTTCTCTGTGAACATACGAAGAGCTCCTATGTTGGTCCTTTCCCTGTTGGATAAATCGTTTTTATAACCTTAATCAATACACTTTTGAGCGAAAAAAATCCGTCAAAAACGGCTAGTTAGAAAGTCGAAACTTGTCGTTACGAAAGTCGGAAAGAAAAGACAATGACCCTTATGAGGATGAAGTTTCGTTAGATGGCTTAAAAATGTTTGGCTCTGAATTCATTCTTTTAAATTCAAAGGAAAAATTTGGTTGAAATAACGATCCGATTCATCATAATTATAGACATTTTCAATCTTGTAAATATTTTCAAAAAAAGAAAGAAATTTATACACGATAATTCAATCAAAATTATTACTAACCTCTCAACACTTGTCAACTGATTTTAATCGAATAATTAATTCAATTTGTTTGCGCCGCGTTTTCTGGTCGTGGACACCGAAATGAATGTTTTCTACTTCTCGATGTTGTAGAACGGTTCGGGCCGGTTGGTTGTATAATCTGTTTTCAGTTTTGGTATTCAGTGGGGTATTATACAGTTTCAGTTCCTGTACACCGACCAATTGTTCTGATATTCGAAGAAAACGGAATATTTATGCTTTGTGTGGTTTTTTATTCATTCCTTTCTCTGTGATCAAAATAATAGTTTTTTATATCCCATTGAAGATGTCGACTCTGAAATCAAATAGAAAAAAAAGATATTTCACCTCCAATCAATAATTCGCTTCGAAGATTTTTTTTAGAATTCTGATAGCGTAACGCAAACATGCGTTTCGAATTATCCCTTGCAACAAAATCGTTCCAAAATTGAATTGAGACTAGCTAGTCGGTCGTATGAATTTCGTACGACTCAAATTTTCACACTTGATTTTTGATTCTGTCCAAAATTTATAGTTTTTCAACTTTTTCTTTTCCCAAAAGCTATTCGATATGGATTAAGGGGCAGTCGAAACGAAAAATTCAGCGCTTTGCCCTGCGTTACGACAGTCTTGTTTTATATGCAAGCTCTCTCATCTCGGGACAAGAGAAATTGTCGGTGCCGAATTGTATATAAAAACGTCTGTCGTCTGTGTATAAAAGCCGTATATGCTAGAGCATGAGAATCATCGGGCCGGAGGAAAATTGCCGACCAAGGATGCATTTCATTGGTTGCATTTCCTGGATTCAATTCCTTTAATTGGATTTTTGCGTTTTGTTGGAAGTTTTTGAATGTTCAATTCTGATGTTCTAATTTTACTTTTCTGTTATTCGGTCTTTCTTTGATTTGCGACGCCTATTGATTTGCGACGCCTAACTTGCCTATTGATTTGCTTTTTCGGTCATGTTTTGTGTTTCAGGTTCTGAGAAGGACATTATGAGCAATGTATTTGATGGGTATGCAGTGACAGAGAGACCAGTTGTAAACAAGACCACAGTAATATTAGTCAAAGTCAGACTTTCGATCAATCAGATCATGGACCTGGTGAGTACATGACCAATTCAAAGGGCCATACGAAGCAATACCTATGTCTATAAGCAGGCGAAATTGTTTGCTCTCCTATATGACTCATCACACGTTGTATCTCACCTTTGCCTATATCTCCAATCTCCCTACTCCTACCAAAAATTTTTAGTCGACGAGCAGGCTGCATAAATTTACCTCAAGTTAACTCGTTAACTCGCAACCTGGTAATTGCTGATTTATTAGATCAGGATAAGGTCCAGGATTTTATCATATTGTACAAACATATTTTAAAATAAAATTGGTGTTTTTGTTTCGAGCCTTTCAGATTTGTGGTATCATTTTCAAATACATTCAGCCGACAGCCAGATTCGAAAAAGATCCAACGAGCTCAAGGCTCAAATTATTATTTTAATGTTCTGAAGGAGTTTTTGAGTTCAGGAGTTCAAATATGTGGAAAATGGTTTGATCATGCGCGTATTTTTTTTACATTGAGTATCACTGTTTGATTTTTCTCATTTCAGAACGTTGTGAGGCAGTCACTGACAGCAATCTACTCACAAGAAATGGTTAGTATTTACTTGTAAAAAGTAGATTATTTTGGGTAGGGACCAATGTTTAACCTTCTGAAAAAAAAAACACAAAAACCTTTTTTTTTATAAATCTTTGTTTCGTTTTTTTTTACATAATTCGACTCAAATTTTCTAACACTCTTTTTTGAAAACTTAGGATTTTTTTACTTGGTATTTTCCTGTGCGAAGAAAGAATCTATCAAAAAAAGAATTCAAACGAAGTTTGAGCGCAACCAACATTTTAATGAGAGTTCTGCTGGCAGTGCTTCCACTTTAGAACATTTACCCTACCTCAAACGCATTTATCCGCTTCGTCAAAATCTATTCTCAAATGGTTTAATTCTACTAAATCTTGCTTTCTTGCTTTCTTGAGAATACCTGTCATCTTGAAAATTCAATCAAACATTGAAATACTAAACATTGGATCTTATTTTGCCTTTTATTCGTTTGAGAACTGGTACGACGAGTTCCTAACATGGACACCCGCAGAATACGGAGGGGTGAGGAGAATCCGGGTTCCCAAGGACAACATTTGGTTACCAGACATCAATGTGTTCCAGAGGTAAGTGAAGTTACTAAAAATAAACTACAAAACATCCGATAAAACTTCAAATGGATCTGCCGAAGCTCCAAATTCAACAGCTGAGCACGCAAGGTGTTTTTGGGAGAGAACCGCGAGAGTGAATTTTTCAGATTTTACGACCAAACTACGGTTGTTTTCAGATTTTACGGGGTTTTGAGAAAGTGGACGCACAACCTGTTTTATGCTTCAACTTTGTAATATTTTAAAGCTAAATGCGATGTTTTTGTCGATGGTTTGTTGAAAAAGCCAATAAAGAATTTAGAAAAAAAACAGAAAGCAAAATATTTTCTATTTTTTCTAGGAAACTTAAGAAAATGAGAAACTTTCGTGTTACTTTCAAAGCAACCATATTCTACTCTTCATTACGAGGTCAAGTTGTGCATATTTTATATGCATACTTGAAATGTTTGTGAGTTATGGATTCCAGAGATAAGCCATTAAATCTGCAAAATTGCAACGGTGGTTAATGAAATTGTTGTTAATTTTTGGTTGTTTGTTTGTTGTTCAGAATCAACTGGGCGGACGTGCAGTCTCTGGAGCAGGTGTTGACTAACCCCATAGTGCAGTGGGATGGCAGAGTGACGGTGCAGGAGCCAAGATACCTCACCAGTGCATGCTCCGTCGACGTCAAGTAAGAGAAACACGAGACTGCAGAAAATGATGGCAATTACATTTATTTAACTGCTTTTTATTGTTCCTTTGATTTTGACAAAAATGTATCATAAAAAGTCAAATAAAACACTAAAGCAAACCATGTAAGTGCTGATTTAATCTTACCAATTTGCGTCCCTTTCGCCTTAAGATTCGACCCCCTGACGGACGACCCAGAGGATCCCCCCTTTGGCACTATTTTATGACATCCAGTTTAGGCTGAGCGACCCTAAAATTTTCTAAAGGCGCCTTTGGCATCAATATATACAGATCTTGAAGGGAGAGCGCGCGCCGAAAGATGCAACTTTTTTGGTCAAAATGTTTCCAATGAGTTTCTAAAAATTCCTTTTTTGGACTTTTTTGAAATTTTGCCTGCGGCGCAGAAATTTGGTCAAAACAAGGTCTGTGAAGTAATTTGGAAGAGATCGGAAAATCAAATTGGTCGACTTAAAAAAAGTCTTCATTTTAAATAAGAAAGATTGAGCGCTGAATTTTAATCTTTAGGTGGGACCCGCAAAAATTGGCTTCAGCGCTCAAAGGTTGAATCATTAATAGTTCAAAATAGCATTCCACTTTTTTTGACGCGCAATACTAACTGGTGAGTTTACACTATGTACAAAAAATGGGAACGCATAGTTATTGTGTAAATTAGTTAAATGACATGTTAAGTTGTAAAGACATGTTAAGTTGCTGGGTAAATTTGTAAATAGTTTGGCGAGAACCCAATTTCATTATTATTTTAATAATTTCATTTTTTTTGCATTTTTTGTGGACACTTTTAATTAAATTCCTGTTCTCGTCTTTCTTGAAAACAATTTTCATTATTGTTTTACTACTATCTTTTTTGTATCTGAACAGCAACTAATAAGAAAGTCTTATCTGATTTCAAATTTGAAAAAAAAAACATTTTTTTATTTTGTTTTCAAAATTAATTCTTTAGTCAGAAATTTGTCAAAATCTGTGTTATATCGTTATATCTCGTTCCTGGAAAAGTTTATCTTTTGAATGAACTAAAAAATTTACATCATTAGCATAGGCATTTATTATTGTGACATTGTAATACATGACAAATGGCGCAAAGCTCCGATCCACCTCTTTGTAACCAATTTTTTTTATGTATTTGACCCGTCCTGAGAGTTTTGTTCAAATAAAGCTGACGTTCAGGGAAAAATTTACCACAATAAGCTGAAAGGGGAGAGGAAATTTAACCCCTTCTTTATTACTAATTCAACACACGTACAGCCGAATATTCCTTCCCTGACAATAATTTAGGAAGCCGATTATTGGCAGATTGAATTTATGCGTCCAAAATGCACCTTCGACGCCAAAACATTGTATTTTTGAAGGGGAGAGCGCGCCACCTATATCTTGCAAAAAAAGACTAGCGACTGAGTTTTGGCTTGTTTCTCAAAAATTTGCGGCGGAAAGGGGTCATTTTGGTTTCAAGAGAACTCGAAAAAACACATTGATTGCTGATTGATCTTAAACCCATAAGAAGTCGTCAAAAATAACAAAAATCCCAGCCTTCTTCTGATAAGTTCACTTGTTAACTGACAAAATGCGATTGAAAACTGAATTATTTAACATAACCTGATTGTCTAAAGGGGATTTAATTATTTATTCATTGCAGGTATTTTCCGTTTGATGCACACCATTGCACCATCAACATTGGATCGTGGACATACAAACCCTATGAAGTGGACGTCATGCCAGGGGAATTCGCTGCAGGCACATTGTAAGTCAATATGAGAGAAAAAACTGATTTAACCGATTAATTATTCCTATTATACCTATTGCGTTAAATTTCAACATTTCTGATTGAGTTTTTCAACAAACGTAGCTTTAATTTCAACGACTCTGCTTCCTGAAATTTGATTTCAATGCTCTTAGCATTTTATTTCATCAAAGCGCTTCAATTTTAAAAGAAAGCATTCATCTTTATTGCGAGAAAACATAAAACTTAGTTCTTTATAGCTATTAGAGTAATATATAGCGTAAATAAAACCGAGGAAAGGACTTTTGATGCATGTTGAATAATTACCGGTGCATGATGATTAATTATTGAATCATTGATCAGGGTTTACTGAAATTCAAATGCAGCAGTTGAGTTAGACGAGAGAAAATGAGATAAAAACTGTTGAAAAACTGCCCGCTTAAGTCAAAAGTCAGGAATTATACACTTGGTCTGCAAGTAAAAATCAACACTGACTGTTTCAGAAATGCAACAGCATAAAAAACAATACTGTAAACATTACAGTATAAAAACATTTTACGATAGCCCTGATAAGTGATAAAATCAGAACAGAAAATGCTGTACTGCGCAGGGGTGAATCTAGGATTTTCTCAAGGGGGATGGGGGTCGGGTTTTTGAAAAATTTTCGAAAATTTTAGAACATTTTATAGGTCGATGACTAAACTGATTTTGCGAGCGCTTCCAGAACACTATGAAGACCATATTTTGCCAAAATTGGTTGGGCTGCAGGCATATTTTTGAAAAAACAGCAGTTAAAAAGAAAACATTTTTGGACACTTTTTGCGAAATTTTGACCAAAAAATTATGTTTTTGCGCGTGCGCTCCCCTTCAAAAATTAGTATATTTTGGCGCCAAAGGCGCCTTCAGAAAGTTTCAAAGGTTGGTCGGCTAAAAATGGATTTCTTAAAATAAAACCAAAGAGGGACCCTTTGGTTAGTGAGGTGGTCGAATCCCTGAAGGAGGGCGTCTGTACTGATTCAATAACAAATCAGTAAGTTTTTTGAAATGATCAGTTTTGATCAGAAAAAGAAATAAAAAAAAGTAGTGAACTAAATCATTGAGGCTTCTTCACAACGGTCGGTTCTGTTATTATTGTTGCGTTCCGTTTCAATCTCGCTTGTCGTGGTTGATCTCTCTTCTGCCAGCAAAAATAGC